GGGGGGGCCCAGGGGGGCTCCCATCGTGGGCTGTTGAAGTTGCTGAGCTGCCGCCTGGGGTATTTCTTTGCCTTGGGGGGCCCCTAAAGAAGATAGAGGGGCCCCCAAAGTGTGAGAAAGGAGAGTGGACGACATGGGAGGCCCTTTGTGCTCTCTTGCAGTAAGTGCATGCAGAGGATACTGCTGCTGCAGCAGCTGATGCTGCTGCAGGTGCCGCTGCTGCAGCAGATGCTACTGCTGCTGCTCCTGCTGCGCCACTACCGGCAGTGCAAGTGCTGCTGCTTGTGCTTTTGTTGGTGTCGTTTGCTGCTGCTGCTGCTATTTGTGTGCAACTGTTGCTGCTGCTGCTGCTGCTTGTGTTTGTTTGCCTGCAGCGACAAGGGGCCCCCTGAATCTCTAGAGATTATTAAGCGAGCTGTGAGGGGGCCCCCTGCTGCTACAGTGCTAGCGGGGCCCCTCTTAACCCTGGGGGCCCTCTACCGCTTGGCAGCAAAAGTGAAGCCTCTCCTCCCCTACCTCCTGCGGGAAATGTGGCGACGCCAGCAGCAGCAGCAGCAGCAGCAGCAGCAGCAGCAGCAGCAGCGACGGGAAACGTTAGGGTTTGGGTTGCTGCATTGGAGTGAATTTCAGGCGCTGCTGCTGCAGGCCATCCATGCAAATGCAGAGGATATGCCGGGGCCCCCCAACAGCAACAACAGCAGCAGCAGCAGCAGCAGCAGTTTGAGTGCAGAGGAGTGGCTGCTGCTGCACGGCTGCTTAGCCTTTAGACACGTATGGAGGGGGGGCGGAGGGACAGAAGAGATATTTGATTTGTGGGTAGCTGCGCGTTCATTGCTTTCTTGTCTCCTTCTGGGGGCCCCCAGGGGGGCCCCACAGCAGCAAGCAACACCTGCAGCAGCAGCAGCAGAAGCAGCAGCAGAAACAGCAGCAGCAGCAGCAGCACCTGATGCTGCGCCTTCGCACCGTCTGTCGCCGTCCCTAAGGGAACTTCTTCATATCTTTCGGGGGCACAATAATGCGGGTATACGAGATGCAGCAGCAGCAGCTGCTGCTGCTGCTGCTGCAGCACCGACAGCAGCAGCAGCAGCAGAAGGGTACGAAGTTAGGGCAGAGTGGCAATGCTCCTCGCCGTTTGCTCTGTCTGCTCTAGGGGGCCCCCAGGAGGCCTTTGGGGGCCCCCTAAGTTTACCTATCGGTTTACTAGTGGAGAGGGGGAGGGGCCTCAGGCGTCTGGGGGCCCTGCTACCTTCTTCATTTATAACTGCTGCTGTTGTGCTGCTGCCTGGCATTGCTGCTGCTGCCTCTGCTGCTCATGGGGGCCACGGGGGGCCCCTACTGCAGCAGCAGCAGCAGCAGGGGGCCCCTGGGGGGCCCCTCACCCTACTTAACAATATCTTCTCTCTTGAGCAAGGGTCAAGCTCTGTTATATACAGAAATAAAAACCCTTCTTGGAGATGGGCCTTCACGCTGAGGGGGCCCCCCCTTGGGGAGTTTGCTGCAGCAGTTACTGCAGCAGCAGCAGCAATACGGGGGGCCCCCCAACAAGGGGGCCCCCAAGAGAAGGCTGCTGCTGCGCTGCTCTGCAGAGCCGCTGATAGCCTTCGAGCTGCTGTTCAGCAACGGCCACCAGGAGCAGCAGGAGATCCTTCTGCTGCTGCTGCTGCTGCTGCTAATGCGCTGATGCCGCTGCTAGCTGTTCGTTTAACAATCTGGCTGTTGGATGTGCGTGCAGAGGGGCCCCAGGGGGCCCTCCCTATTCTTCCTGTGGCCGTTCATTTTCCTGTTATGTTTGAAGGGGGGCCCCCCTGCCCTCCTTGGCTGGGGGGCCCCCCAGACGAAGCAAAGGGGGGCCCCCTCATACACCCCATACCTCGCGGCTGGCACCCCTATGGGCAGGTCTTTGTACCCATCAGGGGCCCCCAAGAGGGTACAGTAGGGGGGCCCCCCGAGCTCGCAACCTTCTGTATTCAACCGCCACCAGCTTCAGGCGCCAGCCTCACAAGTGCTGGGGGGGAGGCTGCTGATGCTGAGGCTGCTGCTGCTGCTGCACCGAACGCTGCAGCAGCAGCAGCAGCGGATACGCAGTGTGGTGTATGCACTGCAGCAGCTTTCATCGAGTGGGGCAACGCGTAGGGGCCCCTATGTGGTCCCCATACACTGGAAGCCCCTAGGGGGCCCCTAGGGGGCCCCAATACCCTGGAGGTTCCTAGGGGGCCCCCATAGCCTGGAGGCCCCTAGGGGGCCCCCATACCCTGGAGGCCCCTAGGGGGCCCCTAACCGTGAGGCCCCTCGAGGGGCCCCCCAATTTTGTTTTTCTTTACGCCTTTTGCCCGCTGCAGTTTTAGTTTGTTGCTGCAAAGGGGGCCCCTTCATTTTAAGGTTTATAATTGTGCTGCTTGTGTTTATCTGATTGCTCTGTGGGGGCCCCTAATAGTTTAAGTACCGCCTCTGTTTATATAGAGTTGTTTAGGGGGGTTAGGGCCCCACAGTCTGCTCGCAGCCTCTTGCTGCTGCTGCTTCAGCTGCTAGCACAGGGGGCCCCTTAAGGGCCTCCTGGGGCTCCTGCTGCTGCTGTGCTGCTGCAGGTGGCATCTCTTCTTTTGCTGCTGCTGCTGCTTAGGGAGACAGCAAGGAAATGCTTGTCTTTGTTTTTGTTTGAGTAGCAAAGCATAGAGGAGACAGCAGCACAAAATTAAACAAAAAAAAGCAAAACGTCGCTCAGAAAATGCACAAAAAAAGAGTAAAGGGCCCCCTAAAGAGACACCGCAAACCAAGAAGAAGGGGGCCCCTCAAGTAAGAGAGGGGCCCCCCACTAGCAGAGGGGCCCACCAATCAAGTGAGGGGCCCCTCAACTAAGAGAGGGGCCCCTCAACCCAGTGGGGGGCCTCTTAACTAAGGAAGGGACCCCTCAACCCAGTGGGGGGGCCCCTCGCGTAGGTGAGGGGCCCCCCACTTGGTTAAGGAGCCCCCTCGATCGAGAGGGGGCCCAGCTCATCTAAGGGGGGGCCCCTCACCCGAGGGGGGGCCCCCCCTCCTTGGCTTGAGGCAGCCAGTTAACGGATGCCTCCTCGTTGTCTAGGGGGCTATCTCCTTTGGACAGCTTCTCCCCTGCTGCTGCTGCTGCTGCAGGCGTTGTCTCTGCTGTTGCTGCTGCTGGTGTTGCTGCTGCTGCTGTTCGCTGCACACCGTTGGCCCTAAGTGGCTGTCTTGCTGCAGCAGCTCTTCTTGCTGCTTGTGTGCTTCTCTGTCTCTCCAGTCCTGTCTCCTTCCTTCTTTGTGCTGCAGCAGCAGCAGCAGGTCCTCTAGTCCGTGCTGCTGCTGCTTGAGGAACACGTGTGGGGGCCCTTATAGACCCCGGGGGGCCCCTCGGGGGCCCCCCTGGGGGCCCCCCCTTCATAGCTGATCTATCTATGGCAAAGGTGGAGGGGGGCCCCCTGGGGCCCCTATTGACTGGCTGGCTGAGGGGGCCCCTTGGAGGGGGACACGACTGCGAGCGTCTTCTTTCTGCTGCTGCAGCAGAGCGTGCTGCTGCTGCTGCTGCTGCTGTTGTTGTTGCAGTTGTTGCTGCAGCAGGTGGCGTTGCTGCTGATGTCCTTGTAAAGAGCCTGCTGCTGCTGTTTTGGAGGTCCCCAGTATGAGCATAGGGGCCCCCCGAGAAGTGTGCTGCTGCATCAGCTAGAACTGCTTCCTTTGCTGCTGCTGCTGCTTTACGTAGCAGAGAAATCTGCTGCACTGTAACGGGGGCCCCCACGGGTACGAGCTGCTGCAGCACACCAATGGCTTGCTGCTGCTGCCCTACAGCAACTCGTAGATATCTTAGGCAGGCTTCATACATCCTTAGGCTTCGTTGGGTTTCTTCTAGCTGCTCTTTTAAGCTAGAGGTATTATATATAGCATTATTTGCTGCAGGTATATTAACAAGCTTGCAGGCTCTGTCTCCAAACCTTAACGAAGCTACTGTCTCTTGATAATGGCTGCTGAGAGGGCTGCAGCATATTATTAAGACAGCGAGGCCCCTCCCTCCTAGAGAGTGTCCAAGCAGCCTAGTTAGTTTGCTTTCTCTATAAGGTACATGTCTCTTTCTGGGGCCCCCAGGGGCCCCTGGGGGCCCCCCCCCTCCCTGCCTACTAGCCATTGGGGGCCCCCCACCCTCACGAGAGGGGGGGGGCCCCCGGGGGCCCCCACCTGCTGTAAGAGCATTTATTACGTTTCCTAAAGCTAAGAGAGAGCGGTTGATGCTGTTTGTCTCTTGTGCTGTACTGTCTCCTTTTGTTGTGTCTCCTTTCTCGCTGCCTGCTAAATCAAAGAAGTTTAAAGTAGAGACAGTTAGGAGACCCTCGGTGCGACAGCGTTGCTGCAATGTTATTGATAGAAAGGCATGACTTCTTGACGAAACAGAGTTTGCTGCTGTTAAGCCGCACTGGCGACTCTGAAGCCCCTCCCACAGCAGCTGCAGCAAACCGTAACACCAAACAAGTATTAAATATTATTTACCTGCAGCAGCTGCAGCAGCAGCAGCAGCAGCAGCAGCAGCAATAGCAGTAACAACAGGAGCAGCGGAGAAGCAATAGCAGCACAAGCAGCAACAGAGAAGCAGTTGCAGCAGAAGCAATAACAACAGAAGCACTTGCAGCAACGGCAGCAAGAGCAACAGTAGCAAAAGCAGCAACAGAGAAGCATTTGCTGCAGCAACAGCAGCAGCACGAACAGCAGCAGCAGCAGTTTGTGTTTGTAGATATAAAAAGAGACGCCCTGGCCCCTCATCCGTCAGCAGTCCTTGTGAGATAGGGGTAGCTGCCTATACACCCGGAATGCGTGCATCCCCGTACTGCAGCACGAACAGCAGCAGCAGCACGAACAGCAGCAGGAGCACGAACAACAGCAGCAGCACGAACAGCAGCAGCAGCAGCAGCAGCAGCAGACCTGCATCGCTTGCTGATAGCTTGTTAAAGGGGCCTCTGTTGCACCTGAAACAACTGTCTGCCCGTTGGGGGCCTCCCTAACTGTTAGGGGGCCCCTAGAAGGGTCTAGCAGGTCTTGTATCCGTTCATTATATATCTCAACCAAAGTAGCACTTAGCTGCACCTCAACGCCCCCCCCAATGGGGGCCCCCTGGGGGCCCCCCTGGGGGCCCCCCTCTTGGGTGCCCCCCTCTTGGGGGCCCCCCTGGGGGCCCCTGCAAGAGGGGCCCCCAGAGCCTGCTTGGCAGGGGGCCTTCCGACTCTCTATTGCTTTGAACAACTCCTCTAGAGCGCGAGGCATCAAACCACGAAAGTCTGTTATTTGCTCAGAGTGCCGCTGCAATTCGCTGTCTCCTTCACCCCCTCCAAGAGGGGGGCCCCCCTCTTGGGGGCCCCACCCCTGGGGGCCCCCCTCTTGGGGGCCCCACCCCTGGGGGCCCCCCTCTTGGGGGCCCCACCCCTGGGGGCCCCCCTCTTGGGGGCCCCACCTCTGGGGGCCCCCCTCTTGGGGGCCCTTCCCTTCTTCTAGCTCCCCTATGGTGTTCCAGGGGGCCTCATTGAAGGCGTTCAGCCAAATTTGCTGCGTCTCTGCTGCATTATTTTCTGGGGGCCCCCCTGGAGGGTACGGGGGCCCCAAGGTTTGTGACCAGCGAGGATTAGGGGACCCCCCGGCCTGTGTCTTGTAGCTGCTGTTCGCACGGGGCCCCTGCTGAGGCCCTATAGTACGTATAGATGAGGGATACACGCGCCTGCTGCTCCTCCTGCTCCTGCTGCTGCTGCTGCTGCTGCTGTTTTGCTGTGTACGATTTTGTAGGCGTTTATTTTGCGAGCGGTTGCTGCTATATGGGGGCCCCCAGAGGGGCCCCCCAGATCCATCAGCTGGACCCATCATCGTATATGTTTTACCTGCACCTGTCTGTCCGTACACCAGAACAGCCCCTGATATGCCTTTAAGTGCAGCAGCAATTAAAGGGCGGCAGCAGACAGCAAACACTTCTTCTTGCGTTGTTCTTTGTATGAAGACATAATCAAAAGAAAACTCATACATAAGACTCCTAGGCCCCTGTACCCGGACCTCACGTGGGTAGGGGCCCCCTTGGGGGCCCCCAGGGGGGCCCCCTAAGGGGCCCATAGGGGGGGCCCCCACCGGGGGCCCCACATGCAAGCAGCAGGGGGCCCCCGTCTGTACCTCTTGTATAGACTCAGGGCGAACACGAACTGCAACAGCACATCCCCGCTGCAGCAGAGGCTCCTCAAGGGGCCCCGCAGCAATCATAGCCTCGAATGCTGAAGAAGCACCTTCACCACCTGCTCACAAGCAGCAGCAGCTAGTGCAGCAGCAGCAGTAACAGCAGCAGCAGCAGCAACAGCAGAAGCAGGTGGAAGGGAGCAGCGGAGGGCAAAGGGGCCGTTACTGCAGCAATTACAGGCGTTCCAGCAGCAGCAACACTCCTTGCAGCAGCAGCAGCATTTGTTGCAGCAGCAGCAGCAGCAGCAGCATTTGCTGCAGCGGCAGCAGCAAGAGCAGCACCGATTGTTGCAGCAGCATCCTTCAAAGCAGCAAAGCGACTAATTGCTGCATTTCTCATTTAAGTGCTAGGCAGTGCTTCAGCCGCTTGCAACCTGCTGTTGTTTGTTAGGGTTTAGGGTTTAGGGTTTAGGGTTTAGGGTTTGCCTGTTTGCTGCTGCTGAGAAGAAAGGCCTCTAAATGAACCCCTCGAGTTATATTGAAGGTACGACGGGACATCGCTGAGGCCCCGCCAAAGCTGACTAGAGCGGAAGCCTCCTGCAACTGCTGCATCTGCTGCTGCTGCTGCATCTGCTGCTGCTGCTGCTGCTCCTTCGCCTGCTGCTGCTGCTGCTGGGTCTGCTGCTGCTGCTTCCCCTTCTGGTGCTGCGGCTGCTGCTACGTCCGCTGATGCTGCTTCGCCTGTTGCTGCATCTGCTGCTGCTGCTGCTGCTGCTGCATCTGCTGCTATTGCTGCAGTAGAGGCTCCATCCGAGTCGTGTGCTGCTAAGAGACAAAAACATTCAGAGAAAGCAGCAGCAGACACTCAGTCATCAGCACACCTCCCCTGTACCAGCAGCAGCAACAACACCATCAGCAGCAGCAGCAGCAGATCTTGCTGCAGCGGCTGCTGCGGGGAGGGCAGCTGCTGCGGGAGCAAGGCAGGCATCTGCAGCAGCAAAAGCAGCAGCAGCATCCACCGCAGCACTTGCAACAGCAGCAGCACATGCAGCAGCAGCAGGTGCAGCAGCAGCAGTGAGGGCCGCATCATCAACACCACCTGCAGCAGCACCTTGTGCTGCTGCTGCAACTGCTGCAGCAGCAGCGGCAGAAGGTGCTGCTGCTGCTAGCTGCTCGTGTTGACGCGTCAGAGCATACCACCTGAGTCGCTGGTTTGTTGTTGTTGCTGCTGCTGCTGCTCTTGTTGCTGCTGCTGTTGGGGTGTTGATGGTAAGCCGTCGCGGGGATCGTCAGATGCTGCTTGTTGCTGCTGCTGTTGCTGCTGCTGCTCCGGGCAGCTACCAGACAGCTCCGCTTCTGCTGCTGCATCTTCCTGATGTTTTAGTAGATGTTTCTTTTTCTTTTTATCGTTTGCTTTAGCAGGAGCAGCACTCCCTTCAGCAGCAGCAGCAGCAGCAGCAGCAGCAGCAGTCTTTTTCTTGGGCCCCACAAGGGGCCCCTTCAAGAACGGCATGGGGCGTCTCCCCCAATAAGGCGGGGCCCCTCAGCTTGCTGCAATTGCTGCTGGTGGCTGCAGCTCTTTATGGATAGTTCGTGCTGCAGCAGCAACAGCAGCAGCAAGTGCTGCAGCAGCAGCAGCAGCAGCACATGCTGCAGCAGCAGTTGCTGCTGCTGCTGCTGGCTTCTTCCGTAGTTAGGGGCCCGCTCGCCTTCTCCAGTAGAAACGCTCTAGCTGCTACTTGAGGGCTTAATCCCAAACCCTAAACCCTAAACCCTAAACCCTTAGCCCTGGCAATTCAATAGGTTCCCCCCCCCTACAGTTAATAGACTCTAGAAGCCTACGAAGGGCCCCTCTTCGGGGGGCCCCTGGGCCCTATAGTTAGGTGTAGGTGCTGCTAGACTCTCAGATAACATGGCGTCAAACCCTAAACCCTAAACCCTAAACACTGAATACTAGAGGCAAGATATAGACAAACAGGGTTTTCAAGGCCTGTATTGCTGCTGTCTATCTGGGACCTTCTCCATACGAATGCGAGTAATAAGCAGCAGCATATCTGCTGCTGTTGCTGTTGCTGCTGTTGCTGCTGCTGTAGCTGCTGCTGCTGCTGCTGCTGCTGCTCCTGGGTCACCTGTACTGTCTGTCTCGGGTTGCTGCTGCGGTTGTAATTTCCTTTAATTGTTTTCTTTTGCTTCTAATAAACATAAAAATAGCATTAAAAATAAATTTATTTATTATTTTTATTTATTAATTATAAAAGAAAATATCACGGCTGCAGTAACAGCAGCAGCAGCAACAGCAGAGCAGCCCCACCTGCACGGGCCTAACGAGCAGAAGGCCTCCCTTCCCCCAACCACCAGCAGCAGCAGCAGCAGCAACAGCAGCAGCAGCAGCAGCAGATGTCTAACACTACATAAATTCAAGCCAAATAGTATTACAGAACAAAACCAGAAGAAGTATAGAGGGGCCCCCTACTTATATTAGCAACTGGGGGCCCCCCTGAGCGCATGCAGTAGGGGGGCCCCCCGGCAGGCAGGTGGGGGGCCCCCTGTCTCCCCCAGAGGGTTTAGAGGGTTTAAGGGTTTAGGTCAGCAGCAGCAAGAAGAAAGAGAGCAGAGTTTGGGGCTGCATGCATGCAGCAGAAGGCGCCAGGTCCTGCGTTCAATACCCAGCAAATGAAAATAAATAATAAATTAAAATATAGATAAAACCCTCGTTATAATTCATATGATGGTGACCCCCCATAGATAATGGGGTGTATGATGAGGTATCTTTTTTTATAATTGAAGACAAAGACAAGAGGCCCCCCCCTTATCTCTCGCCGTTCTCTGAGGCCTCTCCTTGCTGCTGCTCCTCTTGCTGTTGTTCTTGTTGCTGCTGCTCCTGCTGCTGCTGCAGCCTCTTCTTCGTTTCCTCGATATACTTCCCTTCCTGCATGCAAGACGAAAGCAACAAACAAATGAAAATAACATCGAAGCCCTCAACCGCCTGCAGCAGCAATCAGCTAATAGGGGGGCCCCCCTAAACCCTCAATCGCTAAGGGGCCCCCCAGGCAGCAGCTAATGTTGAAGCCTTAACCTGCATAATTTGTCTTCAAACTCTAGAGCAATGCACGGGGGCCCCTACATATACTAACACCAGGGGGGCCCCCTTTGTACTATAGGCAGGTGGGGGGCCCCCCCCTACCCCGCAGGAGCCGCAGGCTGATTGAAAGTTGTATCTAGAGCTTAGGGTTTAGGGTTTAGGGTTTAGGGTTTAGGGTTTAGCTCACAAGGTAGGCTTGCTTTGCTGCTTCAAGGTGGTCTCTCAGCTGCACCAGCAGCAAATCCTTGGGGGCCCCCCTTAGCTGTACATCTCTTTCGATTTGCTGCGTCAGCTGCTGCAGCTTCTCCTCTATTAGCTGCAGCTTCTCCTCATCTAATCACACACACAACAACCCCAGCTAGCTACAGCTAGCTACAGATCCTTACAGCTAGCCAAGCAGCTAGCTATAAGTGCAGTGCAAGGCAGGCAGGGGGAGGCCTCTCTAATTGGTAGGGGCCCCACTGATGCTGCAGTTGCGCAGCTATCAACACGGCGGCAGCAGCAGCAGCAGCTGCTGCTGCTGCTTCAGCACAAGCAGCTTCAGCACAAGCAGCAGCAGCAGCACAAGCAGCAGCAGCAGCACAAGCAGCAGCAGCAGTTTGCTGCTGCAGTAAAAGCAGCAGCAGCAGCAAAACCCCCCGAAATGCCTCACCTGAGAATGCTGCATACTGCATCTGTGCTCTTTCTTTTTCGGTCAGTCTGGAGCGACCAGCAGCAGCAGCAGCAGCAGCACCAGCAGCAGCACCAAATGAGCTATCTTTTTGCCCCTTTGTTGGGGGTCCATCTTCAGGAAGAATAGCAAAAGACGCCTCTAGCAGCTCCCTACGACAAACAAAGCACAAAAAGTAATGTACTTGCTTTCTTTGGGGGCCCCTCTACTCTTAAGAGCTGCTAAGCTGTCTATACACCCAAACAAACCCTTACAAACATCCTCACCCTAACACACCCCACCGAAGGGCCCCAAGGGGGCCCCCCGAATGTCTAAGGAGGGCCCCTAGGGGGCCCCCTCAATGCCTTAGGGGAGCCCCAAGGGGCCCCTAGAGGGGCC